ATATGGAGACAAGCGAAGATCGAAGAAGAAAAATGACAAAATCCATTAATAAGCTACTTCCTCGTTATTCCTAGCCTGTGGTAAGGGATACAGGAGTCCATAATTAAGAAAAAAAAACAATGTTTGGATGTGATATCTGTTTGACCATGAACGAGCTTTGACTTGGAATAAGATATGTGTTTTTGGGACCCGCCTATTGCCTGTATTTAAAACTAGTCCAGTGTTGGTTGGCACAATGTCCCCATCGCCTTAACCTGTCCAATCCGAATTTCCCGGATGGTGCATCGACCCATAACTGATACTCCTCTGGTAATTCTCTGCCAACGCTAAGGTAGCATAGGATTCTTGTGCGGGTTTGAGAATCAAACGATCGATCGGGGTGGTGGCTAGTGATGACAAGTTTGATTTGCTTGGGTACAAATTCATTGACGTAGGAAATGAAAACCCTTGTGCTAATATGCGCTATCCATGATACCTGCATTCGGCTCGCAAAGATTGGCTTATGTATGTGCAAAACGAAATACGTTCGGATCAGTTTCCCGATGGTCAATCGGGTAGCACGCTTGTGTTCTCTGTGGTCTCGGGTTCAGTCCTCAGTTGGGTGGGTGGATTCTCATTGCTGGTGAAATTTGACGATTCTGAAGCAGTTCCACATTTTACAACATTCCCATTGGCTGTACTAATAAACGTGATATACATTAATTTCAGCTATCATCGCTTTAACCCGCTTTGGTAAAATATCATCCGTGCGAAGCTATGAATAAATAAATAAGCATCCATCCTTACTTTTGTTTTTAACGCATCTGATGATGATGGAAGATACTTTGATATGTAAGTGGTACATTATATATTTATATACGCGTCCGAGCATTCTCTTCTCTCGTTATCTTGTAAGCGTAGATTTCCTATTATTTGCAACCATGCTTCCATGAAGCTTACTGCTGATTAAAGACCTCTAAAAGGATTTCCTTAGCTCTTTTTCGAACGAATTGTACAACCCGCTATCAGTGTTCATCCCTATTTGCTTCTGAACGCTATATTGTTTACGTTGTTGGGCAACGTTCTTGGATTCCAAGTATATTGTTGTGTACATCTAATTACCGAGGTTGTGTAAATAGGTCACACAATAAACTGGATTAAACTAATTTAATTAACACATTTAACGAGCTCCTTTGTCAAACTATGTTCCAATAAATTACAAATGCTTTTGTTGAAGATGATATACGTTATCGAAAAGCGCTGTGTCCCTGTGATAAATCTGACTCGAGAGATCGAAACAGGATCACACGATTTAGGTAACTGTTTCTCACGTAAGAGAAAGTCGCTGATAAATATTGAGACAACTGTGGGTCGAAGACTGTGCGAACCGCTACCGAATAGTCCTGGAAACACCCGCTACAACGCCATCATGTTTTGTAGAATCACGGATCACTGTGAGTCATTCTCATCCCCAACAAGTCCCACTCATTGAATTAAACGGGCCTGACAGATGTAATTAGCCTGTGAAAAGATGTCAGGCGGATGGTGAATGATGTTAAAAGAATGATAAAATATACGACAAAGCAGGGTAATAAAGGGAGAAGCTGTAGGTGACAGGTTGTTGTTATTGGCATTGTGGATAGAACCCAAAGTCAATCCGAGGGTTACAGAGAAAAAGATATATAATTTCTATCAGCTAGTGAACGAGTTCAAATTTAATTTTACTGTTCAGTTGAAATACTGTCAATTCGTTCATGGTATCCTTGTACCATTGTTAAGTATCTTGTCAAGCACCAGAAATATGTAAGCTGTTGCATTTGGCTCAAATAAATCGGTGTTATTCGAGGGGACATCCGCCTCAAAGGAATTTACTCACTGGGCTACAGGATCAACAGTCAATTACATAAAGTACCCGGTTGGGGCGGAGGGGGGGGGGAACTAACAGTCAAACTCCACCCCATCGAAACTTTGATCCTCGCTCGGCAACTCACTCAAAAAGTGCTTTTGTTTGTTCCCTCCGACGGGACGAGTTTCCATAGACCCAGTCTAATGGGTGATGTGTGACGGCAAAAGAACCAATTACTTTGCTGGTCTTCTGGCCGAATGCAACTGGTTGGATTCACTTAAAGTTGAAAAAATATAGTTCATTTGTTGTTGCAGTGTCGCATACATAGATGGAACTAGCCGTCAGTTATCACAACGAATAGCTAGACACATTCCAAAGGGGTGGATGACGCAAACCATACTCGATGGTCAGGCGGTTACAAGGAACTCGGGGTCATCCATTGCAAAACACCTCATGACAACCAAACATATAACTGATTCCACTTCTTTTTTCCATTCCGTATTACTTATACACAGTACGAAATTACTGGCAGTTAGCGGGGCGTTAAAAAGCCCTAGAGATGACTTCTTGTTTTCACTTTGATACTCCGTGACTATCTGTACACGTCAGTTAACTAGGGCTTACAAATCTGTTTGTTTGGCATCAGTGAATGATGAGGTGAAGCGAAATCTCTTTCGTTCTGAATGCGAGGAGTAGATTTTTAAAAAAATACGTTATTCAGTTTTACAATATGAACCAGCCGCATTTCAACCTAGCCGGCTTCTGGCAGAATCCGTACCTCCTCGGAAAAGCTCGATCTAAACCTTTGATTGCTAATTAGGGGGTACCACGAGGAGCTGAATGGTATCCATACTTGTATTCTACACACGCTAGCCACATGTCTTGTGTTCTTCCTAAACATGTTTTACAGTATACAGAATCTATTAAGCTGTGCCAACCCATTTCTTTTTCGTGCGGTCAAAGTAACTTTACCGATAATCTTTCTCAAATCCAGTCTTTCTTCTCATCTTAATCCGGGCTGGTTCCAAGCGCCAGTAGCTTTCCACGCTCCTCGTTTCTGATAGACCTCAAATTGATGGATAACAATCATTTATCTAAGATGATGGATGATCGGAATACGAAAAGATCAGTGCGATCGATGTTACCTCGTAGCTCAACTGGTAACCGGTGCGCTGCATAAAAGCGACGGTGGTGTCCTTGCTTGGGTTCAAATCCCACCGATGCTACTGAATTTTTCACAATGCCAACATAGGATGAACTCTGCAAAAATCTTGATGTACCTATAGAGAATAATCTACGTCATTCAATCAATTCCAACTAATATATTGATAAACTGAGTTATCTGTCATTGCGAATTCGGGATTTCAGGCAGTTACTCGTCCCTCAGTCAGGATTTACCTATGACTGTGTCTTAGTGGCTTACTAAAGTATGATTTCAAAAGTCTTATTCAGCCGTCTAAATATTATTGGTCGCGTTTTTATTCCATTTATTTGAACGCGTTGTTTGTGAAATTTCAGATTATCATGCAATTTCTTGCGTCAACTTTACGGTAAATATTCTCGCAACCCTTGAATAGTCATTGCATGCTGAACGGATACACTTTCGTTGTCATCCTCACACGTACTCCGAATTTCAACAAGAGATATACCGTCGAAAAATGTACCGAACACAGAGAGGGAATGAAATGACCTTCGTCCGAACCAAATTTGATAGGGGGTATAGACACGTATGAGAAAACGTCCATCGTTTGCTCTATCTACAACCAGTTGCATTCCACCCTCGAATTCTTGGGTCAAAGTGGACTATCCATACTTCTATATTATTTAAATTTTATAAACGTATCCCGATTTTCCAGCTTTTACCATCCACAATGTTGCGTCAAGTTAAATTCTATGAAGTAAAACGATCACAAAGTGGAACCAAAAAGGATCTGCTTCACTTGGACCTTATTCTCATCCGGTTTTAACTTTAGGGAAAAAGAAAACCGAGAGCGCGGGAGAATCAACCGATTTGCTAACCGGGGATGCGCAGCTATCGATGTCTACTTGCAATGATCGTACATAGATCAGCGCAGTCGCATAAGGGAGCCAAAGTAGAAACTATAGGATCTGTCGAAAATGCGAGAGGGGAGATCAACTATTCCAAAATCTGAATCGCAAATATGAAACGGCAAATGAAAAGTTGGAATCTGAAATAGGCAGACAATTATGAAACAGATGAATGTAGGGAGACAGTGGAATATCGAAAAAAAATGGAAACTGCGCTTATGATCATCGATACATCTAACCTAAATCAGGAATGATTCAGTGCTGTCGTTGTTGCTGCCATTTTGTTTTCAAGATGGTCATGAATTTATGGTTGCTACAATTTCTTTGACAGCAGACGAGTGACAGATAAAGAAAGAATCAATCCTTATTGGTGCTCGTGTTTGCATGTGCAGAAAAACATACTTGGCAAATCTATTAGAAGTTACATTTTAAACAATAGGTAGTAGTAGGTAAATGACGATTAAAACCGGTTTAAATTGGGAATATAACTTGATGGATTTCGTAACATGCAGAATAAAGAAAACGTGAACAGCACTGTCGTCGATAACCGTATGGCTGATTCCACCTTATTGAAACCCGTCTACAGTGGGAATTGATCAATCCACCTGGGGATCTAACCAAGGACCTCACAGATAGAACGCGAGCATGCTACCCATCTGACCACTGGGCAGCTGATCAATTTGTTTTTCGTGTTCCTTATGCAAGATATAGCACAATCCATCTTTTCAACCTTGTCCAGGGTATTGCATCTCCCTCTTCTCAACACCAACTTCCGGGTTATGACTCTGTAGGAAACTTTCCGAACCAGACTATTTGATATGAGAAAAACGGTTTGATCTGCTGCCGAGTGGTCAGAAAGGTGACAGATTGCTTGCGTTCAACCTGTGAGATCCATGGTTCTATCATCGACTGGGTGGATGGATTCGCTCTTCTTATAGGACCAACTCGGTTGCTCAGTGCTCCCTAACTCTCCAGTTCACACTTTATTTGCTATCGCGTATAAACAAAGTAGGACAATCTGCTCAAGTCAATGGTATGACCGCTTTCTTTTGGCGAACTTGATTTTTCTACAAATTTCTTTCCCGATGGTGCAATACAAATCCTTTGAACTTTTTAGTAAATAGACAATTGGTTGGTAAAACTCGGGACTCAGTACGAAGCCTCATAGAGTAAAGAAGGCAATGAAGTCAAGTCGCCTGAAACTGTGAAAATGAACTGATCCGTCTGATTACCGCTGTCCAATCCGCTGCACTTCATCCCATTGACAGTATCCACGGAATCGAATTGAGTAGATGTTTGGTGAACAATGTGTGGTAAATTCTCTGTTAAAACTATACGCGCGTATTTCGTCGAAATGCAGCTAAATGTCGACCGTACAAGACAAAATTCTGGTCTACCCTATCGATTCATACGTCACAGTCAATTTAAATTTCTTATTAAATTTCATTTTATTATGGAACAAATGAAATACAGTATGCTGAAATGTCTAACATTGCGCAATAGCTCATTATCATACGCTGAAACCACTGAGCAAGATACAGTAAGTTTCGGATAGCTGTAGGATGATGTCAATTGATTGTGGCAAAAACTGGTCCACCCATGACTAACTGTGTGTTTGTGTTTGGATGTCAGAAACACGCGCTCTTTGTGCTTTTCTGAATGACATAGAATCGTACATGTACGTGAAAATCATTCGTTGTAATAAATAAATTTGGTGAAATAGATTCAGTGTAAAGCTGTTTTTAGGTGGTAATGTAGGAGATAAGGTCATTGTCACATTCATAAGTAGATCGCAAGTTCGAACCCCACCGCCGTCTTTCTTCCTTCTTTCCCTCTTGCCTTTATTAGCCCTTTTATTGGTTAATCACCAATTCCTGAAATTTTTATCTTCAATTTATCTATTTATTGAAAAGAATGGTAAATGGAAAAATCTGCCGATACATCAATCTGATCCAACAAACGTGATTTATCCACCAGTGGGGTCTGCCAGGCGGAGTCCTTTCAGGCAACAGCCAAATCCCAATTAAGTCCCTGGTCAATATTTGTAAAAAAACAAGTACCCAACGGCAAAAGAGTTTCCGTGATTTCACCGGTAATTTTTTGATCTATTCTACCCTTTACATTAGTTAACATGACTTATCCTTCTATTCTCATTGCGTAACCTTCATTGACTAACCGAACTGTATCTCACTCCACGTCTCACCTTCCATCCATCTCACACGACAAAATCATGCCCTGGTTACACGCACACCCTTGCTCCAGTACCATCTCACAGTTTCCCGTCCCCCTGGAGTCACGATTGTCCTTCTCATTTACTTTACAGTAATGGTGTGGGATAAGCGGTATTGATTAAGACTGAACACCCCTCAGATTTCAATTTGACATAAAACCGTCAGTTCATCCATTTATTTATATACACTTGACTTTTGTTTTCATTGGGGATCAACATTAATGTGTGTTCACCCAAATGCAGTTAACTGATATTGAACTGATATTGACTGTATTCATTGCCACCGCGTTAAAATAAGAAGATAACACCTGAAACAACTTCAATTGGCGACTTTGATCAACTTCCGTGTGAGGTGGTGATACAGTGATGAAGAAAACTTCTATTTCATTTATACGGATCTCAAATCCCGGGATAGACGGTGAATATGCATTACCGATGAGCTTTATTGGTAAAATATGCTCGAGTTCAGTTATTCCGGATTGTATAACTAACAATATGAACTGAGGTTTTTCTTTGAAGGTGAAATCTGATTCTCATTTTACATTGAATTCGATTGGTTCGCCGGACCACATACCCCCTTGAAATTTTCTTGCGAAATTCTTTCTTTTCTAAATGTTATTATTACGTTGTTTAACATATCACCTGAAGTGCACTCGCTTTTACCACGATCGGTGCCCCTTTCTGACTGTTTCGATTATCTTCCGAAGCCTCTCTTTTTTCCCGGACAAATTCATAACTTTAGATTGATCTCTCCTCGTTCAAATGTATCTCTTACAATCAAGAACGTGTTGTATCAAACTTTTTTTGATACCACGAGTTTGACTGTTTGGGATTTTTACATCACTGTGTCGTGGATTACTGAAATGGTGGCGCTAACGTAATTCATCTGGTTCCTTCCTATTGTGCTCAGTATGAATCATATTTTGTGTATATTGCTGTGGTAAAATATTAAAACATTCTCGGTTTACATGGTAATTTTTCAACAAAATTTCTACCTCGACATATCTTTTGACTAAGTAAGTAAGTCTAAGACTCAACTGATAGATAGCAGGAAAATATTGTGTTTTACATAGAATACTAAGCTATAAAAAAAATAAACAAAAATAGATCCACTTTTGGGTTTGATAATTGGCTAGTGCTCAAAATGACAAGATTGCTTCTTCCGGATGCCTAAATCTCCTTCGCTCGTCTTCGAAGGAAAAAAGGACAGCTGTTCTCCGGCGCTTTATTATACTAACCAGAATGAAGCACGAAAGTACGGTTCAGTACACTAATCCTCGGGTCCCGTCTTGTTGTGGTTTGAATTTTCTCTGAGGTGAGCAACAAACCTAAATGTATTCAATTCAGTTTAGTTTTCACTACCAATAATCATACAGTTTTCGGCTGTCCATTGAGCTGAAATAGACGCAGGAAGATAATAGTGTATGCAGAGTTAAAGAGAATTTAGAGAATGCGTATAGACTGAGGTTGCAAAGATAATGAGTAGATGTATCAGAGGAGTGTGTGTTTGCGGCACTCAGTCAAATAACTGTCCATCTCTTTCATACTGTATCAGTATTCTAATTCAATAGGACTGGAACTTTATAACAACCAGTAGAAATGGCATGCGCGCCATCACTCACTCAACGCTAATTTTGGATTATGCTCGAAACGATTCGGGGTTACAGACGATTGACAAGACGTAAATCGATGTCTGTTTGACTCACTCAGACTTTTTGCTATACTGCGATGTTTTAGTTCGGGATTCCACTCGGAGGTCACGTTGCCAGAAATATGATTATCTGGACCGGTTCGGTACTCATCTAGCCCTGGATATCGGAGCTCATGTTCACACACACAGGCAGCTTCCGTTGATCCTTCTGCGGGACCTGTATGGCCTTTGGACCGGGATCGATGTCGAGATATTGTGGGAGATGCAGCGGGCCACGGAGCAAGCTGTTGTTGTTGCTGCTGCTGGTCTTGCAATAACAGTTGTGCAAACGGTTGTTGGGGCTGCATCCGACCGAGATCCCTCGATCGGCCTACAGTAGGAAAGTTTGAAAAACAATGAACGCATTGCAATATGAACTATGTAACATTATAGGTAATTTTAGATGTTGGTTACTGGAAGTTTTTGAATCTATCTATCTATCAATCTACGTGCAAATACACCTTGATGCGCACATACGTAGTGATGAATGTAATGCTAGTAAGATGTCAACCATTAATGAGAGAAGCGTTGGAAGCTTTGTAAAGCAGTTCTATCTTTGTTTCGAACCACGATCGATGTACAGTGAACGCTTCCAGTGCTTTTCAAAACAGCCATCTACCTGAGCTATCTGGCCCGGTGCTTGGAGGTTTGCTTCAAATCAACACAAAGTGATACAAAGTCCGCCAGTCACAAACATTCAGATTGCCGAAGTCTGTCAAATGGATCTACCATTGACCGAAAAAAATGACTCAAGCGGAAGTTGCAAACTGTATTTATGAAGGTTGACGGGTTATATGATACTCAAAATCTTGGTCAAAGACTGGACCTGATTATTTGTTGACCGATTTGCTTTATCCGATTTGGACGGGCAGATAGCACTTTTACAATCTAGAAGCATTCCTCTAATTGCAATCTTCAAGTGATGAAATAGTTTGAATGAAACTAATGACCTCACCAATTTCTGATCAATTTTGATAGGATAAATATATGGAATTGGATTTCAAGTAATCAGGACTATTCCCACAGTTATATTAATTTAGATTCTAAGGAACTCACTTTAGTAGGGAAATTAATCTGAGCTTCAGAATCATATGATCAAATTATTCAGATGATTTAAATTCTGTGCAACTAAATGTTCCAAAGAGAATTATATACAAGATATATGCTTTGATCAACCATTTTGCACCGACAAACACCTACCGGCACCAGTTCGACTTTGCTTTTCCACATCCATAATTGCATTGGGAACAATTTGTAGACGCACACTGTCCAAGCCGTTGTGTTTCAGTCGATGCATAGCTTCTTGTAATGTCAGGTCTTCCACGTGTATGTCATCGATTGCTTCAACACGGTCCCCTACGAACAAAGCCCCACATCTGAAATGACAAATGTAGAATTCGGTTGAAAATAGCCTCAATGAACGAAAGTAAGTTTGATTTTTGATGATAATTCTTTCGAGATTGTGAAAAGTTCCGTAGCCTCGGTGGGATTCGAACCCACGTATGGACGCCGCCTACGCTTTTGTACAGCGCAGGCTCTTCCAGCTGAGCTACGAGGCCACACCGATAGCACTGTTCTTTGCACATTTGATTTACTCATCCACATTTAAAGGGCATATGGAATCCATCATTTACCTTGTAAGCTGACTGCCTTTACAGGTTTTCCCTAGAGTTCATCGGAGTCCACAGAATGAACTTCTAAGGCAAGGTTAATTGTTCAAATAGTTGTTTGCAGATTGAAGCTTTTATTTTGGGATTGGGTAATTCGATTGTGAAAAGAACAGTGCAATCGCTCAGCTGGTAGAGCGTGTGCTGTACAAAAGCGTAGGTGGCGTCCATGCGTGGGTTCGAAATCCACCGAGGCTACTAAACTTGTCCCAATGTCGACATAAAACTTTCAGTCTGCCAAACAACAATTTCGATAATATTGTCCTTATTTCAATTTTGTCAACATGTGGATTTCGAGAAGTTTTATCGAAGCCCCATTTCGCAAAGGCCAACAATCGGTTAGGATTCGAACCCATGAAAGCACGCTACGTACGATTCTGTAAAACCTGTTCATCGCCATGCAGGCCACGATATGAAAACTGTGACTTTGATTAGGTACGTTTGCTAACAAATATAACTTACTGAGGCTTATGAACAACTCAATTAATTTTTCTATTGAATCAGTTAGAGTTTAATAGAAAAGCTTATTGAGTTTGCATATAAAGGAACTAGAACAAAGCGAAAATAATGAAAACGAACGACATCAGATAAAAAAACTCCGTGTAGCAATGAAAAACCGTTTTGGGAAATCCGCCAAACGTGACATAAAATTTCCTTTTATTATCGACTGCCAGTCATGTTTTTGGCTATTGGTTACTATTATTTTTTTATCAAATAAACATAAACTTAAATAATATTTAGTATATACATTCGTCATGTCAGGTACAGTCTCCTTGACTTATTAAAACTTATTGGTTTGGGTACCAAACTGGGGAGTTCCCATGCACATTTGTTTACCAGCATCCGACAGCACCGTCTTAAGCATTTTTGCAATACGTAAGTTATGCAAGATACTTACCGATCTCCGATGCTTCCTTGACGAATGTGATTGATAAAGAAAGCATTCTGTCCGGTTTTCACCTCGTGGCATGGAGCTAAACTGATCCCGAGATCTTCATTCCCTGGTTTTTCTATCTCAACCATAACAGCACCTGATATACTTCTGTCTGTTTCTGTTGAAATAGAAGGATTCAAAAGAGACGCAATAAAGAAAACGCAAACGAAAGTGAAAACAGTTGATGATTTTAATTTCTACAGAGTTCGTCATTATCTCGTATAACTGACTATTCACAACTACTTACAAGTAACTCACTGGTTCGTTGAAAATTAATCCTTCTTAGACGGTTAATTTGAGTTGTCTTACATGAATCTGCGAGAAGTATTTTATTTGGTAGGAGGAGGCTTTTGAGTAGAATCAACAGGTAGTATACGGTCTCCCTGTGAAGCTCTCTGATCAACGGCCGAAGGCCTTAATATATATCAAGACGTTATCTGGCCAACTCAAATAGAAAACTATGGTAAATTTTGAAGGTGTTTCGTTTTTTAGTGCGATGGAAACGTTTGTGATAACCAACAAAGAGCGCAGTGGGGAATTAACGATCTCCCAAGGAGTGAAACACACATCGAACATCATTAATTGTGCCTGGTGCCTGTGAAAAACCGAATGGGCTAATCCAAACATTCACCATCTAAAGTGTTTCGTTTTTTACTACAGTAGCATAATTGCCGTTCATGCGACAGGCTCGAACGTCAGATACTCATCGAGGGGCTAGATATGCATAATTGGTGATGAGAGTGAATCCGGTGCCGCCGCCCAAGTGTATGGTTGAATTTTGGATTATATGCGAACGTGATATCTATGGGTTAAACAGGCAACGTCAACAATTAATTTGGTTCTTTGTAATCTAACTACTTCAAATGCAAATCACTTCATTTACTCGGGTAAGTGAAACCAAATTATGAACAGTTGATCCGGCTTTTTGTTCCTAATGAGAGCAAAGCTTCACAGGAGGTTCAGACAGGAACGAGCCTTTCATCTTCGGTTTACTCAGAAACGTGAATGAACAGATAACAGATGCACCATCACACGGTTTAATCATACCAGTTTTATTTTTAAGCGTTTCCAATTACGTCCAAGTTTGTATGGAAGTACAATGAGATAACAAGCCTAAAAAGTTACCAAACAAAATGAGATAAAACAAATAGAGTTGCCTTTCAATTCAATGAAATTTTGATTATGAAGTCTAATAAAAATGAGGTATACAATCTCTTTAACTTATTGTTGGCAAAAATCAGATTGTGCATAACTGTATGCAGCACACGAAAGTCAAGAAAAGATCAAAGACGAATCAAGGCAAGGGTGTTGGTGTTGGGTGGTGGTGGTGGTGGAGGTGCAGTGGTTTAATCACTGTCATCGGCCTGCTCTGGACCCTATGGTTGAGGTTCGAGCCCCGCCACCGCCATCCAACTTTGGTGGTAGGCAGCTTTGCTATCATCCTTTTCACTGACACGCCTAACCTAACGGGGCCTTATGTGGTTAACCACTCCAAGTCCTTGAGCTCCGGTTACCGGTTTCCATCACTGAACGGCACTCCTCTTGACTACGGGGCTTTCCCGTTTACTGTTTATCACACTAAAGTGTATAATAAAAAGAGGTAATTAGGAATAGTTAAGTCGATTCATTTTTGGAGAAGTTTCATCTTGTTGTTTATCTCCTTTTTCGAGTGAAAGCATCTCAGCTGTTTGGTCCAGGAATGGTAATCCCGCATCACTCATAAATATGCTCAAGTCAACCTTAAAACGAAATCATATCAGGTACCGCGTATCTCTTATGCCCAGATTGTTTTTGTTACCTAATCAATTTTAGTTACTGCGGAGAGCAAACCTCTAACAGATGTTTGCTGTGATCAATATGCTTCGTTCCTCCGCGACGCCATATTCTCTCCAGAGTGCCCCCACTATACAAGTGATCAGTCACAAATGCACTTAGAGGGGAACCTAATGGACTGTCATTAGTTATTCTACGTTTACTGAAAGTAAGGAGAATCATGCGAACGTGCGTGTCACATAGGAGAACTGAAATTCCATTGATCCGTGGTCAATGCATTCTATGCAGTGCTGAAAGATTGTATGGGACAGAACGATCGAAACGTTTTAATACATGTTTCCGTAAAAGGTGCGTTGACCATGTCAAACCAAGTCCCCAATCACCATCCTAAGATAAATGCGATATTTTCGTTATTCTAGATAAAATATTCCGTAGTATTGGGTAAATTTATTAGGCATCACATTCCGGAACTCCGACTTTGCAAATCGTTGATCTTGGAAGGCGTTAGTGAGGTTATGCAGATCACAAAAACAGCGTTTCGTAAAGTGTTAAAATAAATCCCTCTCCTATCAAACAAGTTCATCTGTTTTGTATTCTCCAGGCAACTTTGATTGGTCAAATGTCTCATCCGAAAAACTGAATGTGAAAATGTATATACAAATAAATGAAGGGAAGCAATCATCTATATTGTTATTAATCCTATTATATTGCTGTTCTGTAAACTGGTTTGGTACTCATCACCTCAAGTGATTATTGATTATTATGGTAAATTCCGTCCGTTGAAATGAAACACTTACTGCTCTGTATCCCTTCAATACTTCCGGGAGAACATTTTCCATGTAGATGTTTAGTAAAAGAGCAAATACATTGAAAACTAGTCGATTGAATGTATTGATAGTGATAAATTGGACAAATAAATCTCATTGCATTTCAAAATGATACACTCGCCAGGAATAATGTTTCATGCAGATGGAATGCGAAAAGTATTTCTAGGAAACAAAACATTATGATAACTAAAAAGGAGGATCATAGCGGAATTGGACGCAAAATACTATATTCGCTGAATTCAGATCAGTCGAACAGATACCCCGCATCATCATCATCACCATCATCATCATCATCATTATCATTCGAGTCATAATTATCAACATCTACGAAATATGGTTTTTCTATTCCACCTTCTTTTAACCCGTTCACAGTGTTCTGCCTGTCCTCACACTCCTTCACTTTGACTTGTTTTTTGCTTGCGGTCTTTCTGTTCATCCTGTGACACACTGACAGACCGACAATTGAACTGGATGGAGAAAGAGTCTATGGCGAATGCGGGAAATCCTATTCCTGAGATCCCAGTAGACCTGACGCACACATAGACACGACACACACGCACAATTATGCACAAACATTTTCATCGTGATCGGAGATGACAGCGTTGGGTCGATAAAACTCACAGAAGGGTAACGAACCTGGACCAGTAGTGAAACGCGGCTTCAGTGTTCCGTTGTGAATGAGGCCCTAGATGTTTTGAGAATAGATATATACACAGCCTGTTGGTGTGCCTCTGTTGCTGCTGCTGCTGCCGCCACCACAACCACCACCACCACCCAGTTAGAGTGAATGAGTGAGCGAACGAGTGTGGATCTCTTTGCACACGCGCAGTTTGCGCTCACATATCGGACCGACGTTTGTGTGAGAACGATCTAACGGGGCGCTAAGACAAATTGACAGGTACACTCCCGTCTCATAGATTTTAATATTTTGGTGACAAATGCATTTTTATTCAAGCAATTGATCGGAAGTGCTATTTTTGAACAAGTTAAAGTTGATCTTTGATCCTGTAAAATCAATTGGACTGAAGGAAGCGAATTGGTTACGGCGTACTCTCTAAGAGATGACCAAGCAATGATTAAGCTCGAGCCAAATTAGTAGACAGAATAAACCATACATTTTGCTCTTATTTTTGGCCACCATTAGTGATACTTTATTGTATGCCTTCATGATTCATGTTGCACGATCTACGCCCGTCGAAATCAAATCAGCAACGGTCTTTCATTGGGTGACCAAGGAATAGGAGGTATAGATAACAATGTAAAGAACTGAGAGATCAAGGAAACCTATCTGAAAAATGTTGTATGATTTGATCACTAATTAAACAATCACGTTAAATATAAAGGAAAAGGTATTTGGTACATTTTGACAGGTTGTATCCAGCCTAACATCAGATGCTTCAATGTTGCAGAGGCCTCATACACAGAACATCACTATTTATGGCTTGCAACAAGCATCACCATTCGTCGTACATCTATGATATGAAAAAGACTAGAGTAGTAACCCGGATTGTGGCAAGTCATTTTCTTCAATCCAGTTAATTCGATTAGAACTCAAATCAAATGGGATACTATATAAGATAACATAAAACGGAGTGATGAGACCCTTCCGATAGACTAACGAATTACTAGTTTGAGATGACACGCAACAGCATCCATTGACCAATTTTTGAAGGTTGTTCCGCTATCGCTGGCCGTGCTGTTTTTGTGAACCCTGAATCATAGGATATAACAAACAGGAAACTATATTGCCGATTATCACATAAAAGCATTGATTGATTTTCTTCCCCTTACTATTCCAGAAGATCGCCAGGTAGCCAAATGTTACAAGGCACTAACACCGTGTATACATAGAGCTTACGTCAGCATAATGTACTCATTATGCAAAAGAACAAATTATTGGTGATTGACCCCGCCACATTCCTGATTTTTACCCTGGTGAAAATGTTTGGAATTGCCTGAAAATGCAAGCATACCCACCGAGAAGGGAAGAGCGTTTTAGTGCCATTCATGAATGATAGTCGAATAGCGTCACAGATTCGAATGAAGTCAAAGGGGAAAATGTCTATACCCCTATTGTGAACATAGTCCGTGTTACTATTTAGTTCTGACTTCAACACACCTTTGCATTTGATCAACAGGTGGGCAGTTTTATCAGTCGGTCGGGAAATGGACTAAAAGCTTTGCACAACTCCCCCCTGCATGGTTATTATCCCCGGCAAAAAGAACAGTTTAGTCAGGTGAGCGTTCAACTTCACATACGGGCCTAACAGAGGGGTGAGACAAACCATAAGCATACCAGATTTCATGACACCCAGTTCAGGTATTCCCAAAGGATAATTGCAGATAAACAGGGGTGGAATAAAAGCGTTTTACGCACCCGAAGTTATTCAAGAAATTTTTCAAAATACACCGAGATAGAGATCTTTATTTGGAAAATAGTCAAACAATTTGACTTTTGTGTGGAATTCAACTGAAAATATTCGCAGACA